CCATAGCCTTCCTCCTCCCTCCCGCCATAGTCCTCCCTCCTCCATCCCGTTTTTGTCATCCCTCACACCATAGCCTTCCTCCTCCCTCCTGCCAGAGTGCCTCCCTCCTCCTTCCTGCCATAGTCCTCCCTCCTCCCTCCCGCCAGATCACCTCCCTCCCTGCCTGCCATATCTCCTCTCCCCTTCCTCCCTCCTCCCTCCTTCGACGTGGCACCCCTCCCTCCTCCTCCCTCCTGCCAGATCGCCTCCCTCCCTCCCTGTCTGCCATAGCTTCCCTTCTCCCTCCGCCCTCCTTCCACGTGCCACGCCTCCCTCCTCCTCCCTCCCTGCAGGTCAGACAACCCATAATCCACCCTGCTCCTGCACCCCCTCCCCTCACCCACCCCAAAACACACAAACTCATATGCACGAAAATTCAAAATGAGGCCGGATTTGGGCAGTACTAGGAAAGCGCAGCAAGGTGCTGCAATCAAAAAAAAAAAAAGCAGTGGATTTTTTGCATGCCCGGGGTACCCCGGGCGGGGTCCCTACCTGGGCGAGGTGCCCGCCCCGGGGAAGCTAGATTACATCAGAGTTTATGAAATTTTTGAAAATACAACACATGCTTTCTAAGTTTCTAATGAACCTATTGAATTCTATTCGGATTTCCAAAATACAGGAGAAATTCTTCTGCTCCCGGCTGGGTATGTGATCAAGTAGGCACCTGCCTAGGAAATCGTGACTGGTCAAAAACAGTGCTACCATTCAAGGGGGGGACACTGACAAAGTGTGGAGGCAAGCAGAACACAATTTTCATTTGTGCATGTTGCAGATGCACAGCCGCGTTGTCATGCGACCAAGTTGCGGATGGGGGGAAGAGAGTAGTGTTAGTAGCAGCCAACGGCGCGCGGCACCATAGCGAGTCAGAGGGAGAAGACACCAGGAGACGAAGAGGGAAGGACATTCAGAGGACGGTAGCATACGCGCGCGCGCGCGAGAGAGAGAGAGAGAGAGAGAGAGAGAGAGAGAGAGAGAGAGAGAGAGGAGATGAACACGCGTGGTGGTGAGACTGCAGCATTCTTAGGGGAGAGGAGAGTGGACCCGGGGAAAAGGGTGAGAGAGAGAAATGGGCCGTGTACAGAGAGAGAGTAGGAGAGTAGTAGAGGCTGCCACATCACAGGATAGCTGCTACATTGTGGTCGTATTGATGGAGTTGGGTATTCTTTATCAAGAGACTTCAGTGTCCATGCGTTCGTCAGTGTCCGTATGTTCTTCTTTGCTGTGCTCTCGGTTTCGTATTTCTGGTTTCACCTTCGCTCATATATGCTTGTTCTGCTTCAAGTCTTTTGCTGCTCAGAAAATTTGTGTTCTTATTGATTGGTTCCTTGCAAAAGGATGTACCACTCTTTTGCAAAGTCTCCAGGGACGTGTCCACCTCTTTGCGGACTTCACCGTTTTAGTCGTTTTGTAACTTTGTCCCGTAAAGGAGGAAGTGATTTATCCAATCTGATTTCCTTTCTTGCAATTTGCTTCCTGATTTGAAAATTGGAATACAGGCCAGAGGCACACCCTGTACTTTCCAGACCCAAGGAAAATATAAACAGTAAATACATACTTTCAAATTCATAATTTATTAATTTCATCATAAAAATAAAATGAAATCAAGGACGTACTCCACGGGGCGGAGAGAGAGAAGCAGAATAGACAGGCTTAGTCCCCCAAGGCACCAGATACCTAGCTGATACTCTTCATTACAGCTCTGGAGAAGAATAGGCTAGGTCGATTTTTGGCATGTTTTGTTTGGCAGGGTAGTATGTAGAGAGCAAGGGGGTGGAAGGGGGGGGGGAGAGGGGGGGAGGGAGGCTGATTCAAATGGTCGGATGGGCGTAACAGATGACTAATCCTTCCGAGGGAAGTAATTAATGCTGTCAGGATTCCTCGAGCCGTAACGCGGGGTAGTGCTAGAGTCATTTTGACATAAAGGGACGCTGGGCCCGGTTCCCAGCAGGTGACACTCGCAACCAATAGAAAGGATATCTTCCTTTCAAAAAAGGAAAAAACTTCAAAAAAGGACCTACTCCCCCTATGCTTACCTTCTCTGCCCAGCAGATGCGTCACTACCGTCTTCACCCAAATACTACGCGCGGTCATTATTAGCTGTATCTAGAGAGAGTGGCAGTTGCCCCGAATACAGCTACAATGACCCGGCGCTCAATTTGGAGGAAGAGAATAGTTGACAACTACGGTCTTCCCCCGAATACAACGTACGGTCATTATCTCCGTATTTGGCTCACCTTTCGGTCCAGATGCAGCAGAAATGACCGTACATTGTATACAAGGGAAGAACGTAGTACTCCTTTGGCCAATCCATCCAGTTGTCTTCGTTCTCATCGGACATTTTCCTTTGCTTGGCCCAGCTGTTTTGGTACCTTGGACACTTTTTTGTTTGGAATTGATCCACGATCCATGGGCCTCTGTGCCTCACAGGCCCCAGTTGTCTTATTAGTTGGGTTTGCTCTTGTTTGACTGTTTTTTAGCTGTTTTGGACCCCCTGAGCCAGGGTCACTGCAGCCTGTTAGTCCGAGGCTCCTGGAGACCTGTTTCCGTAGGCAGTTGTATACGTACCGAGATCAAATTTCTCTTCGACCGAGTTCAGCATTCGTTTACGCTGACGAGAGCGTCGGTCTGGTTAGACGATTGATGGTGAACCATTGGGGGTTGATGGATCGTTCGATCACCATTTTGACGAGTTCTATCCCTCTGAATTGTTTCATTCTTAATTCAATCCATCCAGGTACAATGAACTTTCCCAATCGGGAACCACATGTCCTACCGGAAACGGAAAGGGAACAGAGAACATGTTCTTCTGAGAAACAGCTAAGAGGCCCGACTATGCAGCACATATCCACATCGTTAAAAAAAAAAAAAAAAAAAAAAAAAAAAAAAAACAGAGAGAAACAAAGAATATATGCTGTTTGACCGGGCCTTTGATCGGATCTGTGGGAGGATTTCTCACTTCCACACACTCTGCAAGCAAGTATTAGCAGGCGAGAATATGTGCATTCCAGAGCCTAGACAATACCGCCATGTTTCACAAAAAAAAAAACAGAGAAACAAAGTTTAACAAGCAAGCAAAAGATTTTGTTGTGATGATATCATTAATAATACATGGTTTGGAGTGACTAGGAGGCACCCTTTCGGCCGCTTGATGCACCTGCTGCTCCTTGAGTTCCAGGTGCATGCCCACCACCGCCACCATTCGCATGCACTCGTTTCGTCGGTCTATCATCCAATCCGGCATCTGCAGGCCTGCGGAAACACAAAATTACTCCCCAGATCAGAATTGGAATTGTTTCTGTTTTATTTTGTGTTTTTTCCGCCCACATCCGAGTTGTTCGTTCAACCTACCGATGGGCCTAGCGCAGGTAGTACAGCAATGAACTGTGACCATAAACAGACCTCGGTTCAAATCCCCATGGAACAAGCGTGAAATAGAGTAAAATAATTCCTCCCCCCCCCCCCCAAAAAAAAAAAAGAAGAAAAGACTTGTTCAACCTGCTGCAACACAATCAGGCAAACACAGTCATCATGACACAAGAATGAAAGGTACCTCTCGTCAAAAGGACCTTTCCATCGTGTAATCACAGAAAAGCCACAGCAGTTTGACAAAAAGAAGCTGATGAAGTAGAGACTTGGGGAAGAGGGTAAGGATAAACCTGACAGCATACTCACACCAGGACTTTTTTGACTGAACTCTGCACTTTATATTGGCCGGACACATCCAGGCGTGGCTGTAATTGTGGACGCAGACATACATCCATGAAAACCATAGTGTGCACAAGATGGGTGTGGCATACCGCGCAGCCACACGGTCCTGCAGGGCCTGTCCGCAGTCTCAGCCTAAAAGCCTAGAAACAAGGGCTTACAGGCCCCGTGTCTGTTTCAGCCTGACAGCCTGAAAACCAGGGCCTACAGGCCCCGTGTCTGGTTCAGCCTGACGGCCTGAAAACCAGGGCCTACAGGCCCCGTGTCTGTTTCAGCCTGACAGCCTGAAAACCATGGCCTACAGGCCTCGTGTCGTTTCAACCTGACAGCCTGAAAACAAGGGCCTATAGCCCCTGAGGCTATAGCCCCTCAGGATTTAGCCAGAAGCTACCTGGAAACTTCCGGAAGCTTCCTCAGGCTTTAGCCAGAAGCTACCTGGAAACTTCCCGGAAGCTTCCTCAGGGTCTAGCACATTTGGGCAGTGGCAAGAGCAGCCTCCTGGACGAGCCAGCACTATATAAGACTGGCCCGCCCTACAGGCAAGGGAGTGGATAGGGACTGGCCAGGCACTTCATGTGCAGTCTAGGCAGAAGGCAGGAGGCAGTCTTCAGGATTCGGCAGCAGCACTCTGGAGGAGCGCTACAGGAGTAGTCTTCAGCGCTGGGCGCTAGTAGCTTGTTACATCTTCGACTCACGCGGGTCCTACCGGACCCGACTTACGGCTGGAGGGACACACCAGGGCCTAAAGGCCCGACCTTTGGGGTTTATAGGCCCTAAAGGCCTGATTTTGGACTATCACCCATCGGGTAGGCCCAAACGACACTTCGTTTGGGCCTGGCGGCGCTCTTGAAGCTGCCGCCCGCCGATTGAGGCTGAACCGTCCATCTGGACGGTTCAGGGTCTGGCCTGGCCTCGCAGCATTGAGGCCAGACCATTGCCCACCGGTATAAGTGCCGGTATCCGCCTCAGTAGTGGCATCGGCCTACCGGAACTCTGCCGGCACGGCATGGTCAGTGCTAGTGCACTGTTTGATGCGCTAAACTTAGCGCAGGGGCTGAAGCAGGAGCGCAGCAGCGAGCGGAGCAGCAGCGGGCGACTGAGCTGGCACGGCGGTTATTACCACCTGAGGTATCGGGAGCTTGGAGGGTCTCTCCTCCTCTCTGAGCTGGCACGGCGGTTATTACCGCCTGAGGTATCGGGAGCTTGGACGGTCTCTCCTCCTCTCCCTCGCCAGTCCCCTCTCTCTCTCTCTCTCCTCTTCCTCCTTCTTCTTCTTCTTCTTCTTCTTCAGATTGGAGACTATCCAGTTGGACAGAGATCAGAGTTGGGTTTCGGTGATACGAGACTGTGGTACTTACCTGATTGGAGACTTGGAGATTGTTGAGGTTGATACTCGGCTGCATCACAGTTGGACACCGGTTACATCTGGACTCTGTTATCTCCGACATTGGTGACCTTTGGTCCTCGACATTTTGATCTTGTTATATGACATTCTGGACTACCATTTCGGAGACCTATCAGACTCTATCTTTGTGACCTATCGGTGTGATCTACCTCCCACCTCCTTCGTCTCTCCTCCCACCTTTCATCTGTGTATGTGTGTACGGGATCTGGGTATCGTCTATGAATGACCCAGACCCCACCATCTCATGATTGTATGTGTGTGGAGTGATGCCATGTAAGTCAGTTGGTGTGAGTCGGTCTATGTGAGTCAGTTCGTTATCAGACTTCCGCTGCATAAATGCTCATCCTATATTGGTTGATCTTTGGTTCTGCCCATACTCATTGAAGTATGTAACAGTTTTGGTATCGGAGCAGACCAAAACGGATCTGCTCACCAGGTAAGTCTGTTTAGAATTAGGTTATCATGTTTGATCTTCTAAATCGGCGCTGAAGTATTATCGTGATTCAAGTTGCAAATTTTTCTTCTTTCTCGGTATTCTGTAATTAGGCATTACCGCTTTTGATTCAGCATTCTGGATTACTCTTTCGGATTCTGTTTCAAATCGGTATGCCATGTAAATCAGGTTCCGAGAAATTCCATCCGAGATGTGTAAAATCGGATTTCTGTTTTGAAAAAACGAAATTAAGGGAAGCACCTGAGGAGAACATCTCGCAGAAGTTACTGCCCGCGTATAGAGGACCGTGGCCAGTTCTAGAAGTAAAGGGCGGAGAAGATGCACCGTCCTACACGCAGATATCCCAGCACACCTCCACACCTACCCTGTGTTCGACGCATCAAAGTTGCTGCCGTGTGTCACAAGTCAACAGTTTCCATCTAGACGGTCCATGATTCCCCCAGACATGGACGGCAAATATGACATTGACGGCATTGTAGGTGAAGATGTGTTCAGAACAGGAGGTAGAGGTCGTCCACAAAAACAGTATAAGGTCCAGTTTGCTTATCAGGAGCCGGAGGATGACCGCTGGTTCACTAGAGCAGAACTTCTAGAGACAGCTCCCGATATAGTTAGAGCCTATGAGAGAGATCAGAGAGGTAAAGGTCCTGCCTTGGACTGAGTTATTCTTGGAGGACCTCGAATTTAGGCCGGCGGGAGTGAAACGGTATTCACCAATTTGCAGTAGCTGATGCAGACCCCAGGGCTCGATCCCTAGTCCCCACCTTACCTGTGTACAGTATCTGTGTCGACCCGTGGAGTTGAACCCGTGACCTGTGTATTTGTCACAGTTGGCAGGTTGTCGTAGGGTCCATATGTAGCAGGGGTTCGATCTGTAGACCTGTCGAGTAGGAGTCCCAGTCAGGTCTAGAAGTCGTAGCTGTAGTTTTCTCGAAGAGTCAAGGTCGTAGCTGCTACAGTCCGGAAAGGTCAAGGTCGTAGCTGCTACAGCACCGAAAGGCCAAGTCCACGGCCTTCCAGAAGGTCCCAGTAGTGGCCTTTCGGAGTTACCCACGTTTAGGCTGAGGGAAGTGGGCAAGTGGTGAGGCAAGTGGGCAAGTGGGCAAGTGGAGGAAGTCTACCGTGCTGAGTCAACAGTCCCAGACCCCAGTCAGTCCTTGTCCAGTCAAGCAAGTACCGCATGGGACTGTGTGCACTTAGGGCATGGGAAAGGGCCAGACCAACGCGCGGAAGAAGTATAAATCAAGAGGCAGCGCCCAGYCATTCATTCATTCCTGCGTGAGCCATGCGGAAGCGCTGCCACAGCGACTTGTGCATGGTCTGCAGTGAGCCCGAAGACGAGGTGGGCAGAGAGACGAAGCTTAGCCATAGCGATAGGGTAGCGGCGGCCATAGCCGCCATAGCTGTAGTTAGATTTCAGTGTG